TGTGTGTGTGTGTGTGTGTGTGTGTGTGTGTGTGTGTATATATATATATATATATATATATATATTTATTTATTTAAAAAAAAATTTTTATTGCTCTTTTTTGTCATTTTATTATTTAACAATAAAACATTGGCTAAATTTAAAGGAAATTTCTACCAAAAAAAAAATATATATTAATAATAAAAAACTGTACAAATCTTGCATATTACAAGTAAATATTACAGAACTTTCAACAATTCTGTTGGAATTGCGTATACCAAATGAGGCCCGAACTGAATGCGAATTTGCAGTTAATTAAGAAAAGAGTTAATATTTTGTCCTGGCAATCTGACCGTATTTATTTAAGCTTGTGCCTGTTGTGAACCAAGACAGTTTCCCAGACATTGAGGTGAAAGGTCAAATTCAAGCTCATGAGCATCTCAGCATACCCAAATGGTAATCATCTTTGCCATTACCTTTATTACATGAACATATCTGCAGTATACCTAAATTACAGTGCTTAAATAGCTATCTGGCTATTGGCTTAAAATCGCTTTCCCTTCACACATGGCCCATGTGACATCAGTCGAAAAGGAAAGTTGTTTTTGAGAGTTAGTACCCTTTTCTGGATTATGAAAACAAACAGGAATATTGTACAGATGATCTGTAGAAAGAAAAAAAAAGCCCTGGTATGTGTATTAAAGAAGTAAACAGGGCCATTGTTGAATTTCAGAACTGTTGAACATCTACAGTAGGAGAATAAATCACCTGCACTAAGATTCACTAGTGTCACCACTCAAAGAACATCACTTTTATTGCATCAATAAGCGTCAAGGTCACCCTTCCAGCCTCAGGTAGCTTATCTGTTTCCTTAGCCAATTGTTAGCAAGGGCCGAGACAGACCATCTCAGTGAGAGTGAAGCACTGTCATTACGGCGGTGCCGAGGTCCTCAGGGGCCAGAGAGCAGGATCAATTTTCTCTTGTGCCTCTGCATTCAGTCAGTTGGTGAAGAACTGCCTTTGGCGTCATGGAACTGGAAAGCCTGGATGAGGGTGATCTTACCATCACTCACCACTTACTCATGCCTTAATTGTTCCATCTGTGTCGTTTCCGCGATACTGCCATGTAAACTATTATGACGGGATGAGTTGTGACAGATTATGACAACATTTTACAGCTTTGGTTCTGATCCAGGACAGGGATTTTCATTCTTGTAATAGCAAGTTTTCGCTTGAGCGTGGCTTGAAGATTTCTTCTGGTTTGAGTGACAGCGTCGCTTAGAGTTTGGCAGTTAAACGACTGCGATATTTTCCCCGCAAAAGCTGTGATTGAGGGTTGTTTTAGCTCGGTTGAGATGAATAGTCAGCATACTGAAGAATAAAGCATATGTCAGCTTGTGCATTTTAGTTCTGTCAAAGGATCTGTGATAATTGATGCAGATATGGAAAATGATTTATGAGCTTGATTTACCATCGGGAACATCCGAGTTTAGTTTACTAGAAGAGCTAATTCCCTCATAAATGGTGTTCAAACATGATGGCGTGTCTGTAAACTGGAGCTTTGAAGCAAGGAATGCCTTTTTGTAGAAGAAGGGCCTGGAGTTTGTCTGTTGCTTCCCACAGAGCAGCAGAAAGATGTAGTGCTGCCTTCTTTTTTTGAGGGCTAATTACAGTTCTCCTAAGACAAGGCACGCTCTCTCCCCCTCCTTTTGGTTTCGCGATTATTATTTTTTCTCCTGAACTTCATATCTGCATTCCCTCTCTCTCTCTTTCTCTAATCAGCTCTACACATGCCATTTATCTTCATCTGGTCAAGACCTCTTCCTCTTAGCCTCTGAAATTAGTTGCCTCAACACCAGAGCTCTCCACTAAAAAAATGTCAGCCTCACATATATAAAGCTAATATTGCTGACATCAAGCCGAAGCTGTGAGCGGAGCTTTTGCTCAGGGTTTTAATGTGAATATCATTGGTCTCTGAAATACTTACAAGGTGACATTAGGTGAAGGGTACATTTGTTGTTTCTTTTGCTTGATTTATATAGCATTTGTAATAATGAAAATGGTCTCAAAGCAGCTTTACAGGGTGCCGAGACTAAATCCCCAACAATCTACAATCGCACAAGTAGAAAAACTTCATAAAAGCCATCAGTCATAATTCCAATGTCTCTATTATGTAATCTTTTTGTTATTTGTACAAGAAACTACAGTGGCGCCAAAAGGTTTTTGGACAATTGAGACACATTTAAAGTATTGAAGACTTTAGAGAAGAAAACTCAAATCAAACCAAGACCACTTGTTTGCGTCACTGCAGTGCAAAAACCTCGCAATTGAGCCTTGAGAACCCACCAGGAGTCTTGAGTAAGTCATTGTAATTCTTGTCAGCACAAACATACCTCTTTTTGTGTAAATTAGACTTATTATAGATTTATTCACAAAGCACAGTGCTATTTGTTTGGTGCAATTAGCGTTGCATTATTAGGAAAGCAGGGGGTCAAATGACTTCCATTGAAAAGAGATGTTTGTTTAAATTGTTTATTAGTCTTGGCAGTTATTCATCAAATGATGGAGAAAAGCATTATAAACAGGAATATATCCAGGTGTAGTGTGCACACTTTCAGCATTATAAAGAGCTTATTCAGGCGGTCGCAGTGGTGCTGTACAGACCAAGTGTGTTGGATTGTGTGCTCTGCTGCATCCTTCATAATCTAGCACTGCAAGATGGGGAATTGTGCCGTGAAAATTGCATTCGGCACTAATTTTGTGGGCGCGTGTGCGCCGTTACCTGATTTGTGTAATTCCTTTAGTGAATCGGGCACAAAAACTACACAGACAGCACATGCAAATTAACAGCACAATCAATAGGCACAATTCATTCTTACTGAATTCCCCCATTGTCTCAGTTCACTAGTACAAGTAGTAAGGCATTTCTAGAGCTGTCCAGTGCACTGAAATGTTCATTTCCTAGAAATTCCCAGAATGCACCATAAACAGTGAGCATCAGTTGCTCTCTGTGTTAACTTACTGGAAGTGTTCTCATGTCTATATTAATAAGCATTTTTTTTAAACTTGTTAATAATTGAATATATAACGTGTTTGTGTATACAGATGCACATTCAGATTGTATGTTATTATAGTATTATTTCTATACTAATATTATGTTTATTAATATTTTCTGGTTTAACTTTAATTTTAGTGTACATTTTTGTAATTGTGTTATTTGCTTTTGTCATTTTTATTAGTTTTTACTTTTATTGTTTATACTTCAAGTTTTATTTCAGTTTTAGTTCTAGTAATTTTAGTACTTTGACTTTAAATTATTTTTTCTTCTGTTAGTTGACAAGGCACCATTTCTATTTTTTTTTTGCTAAATATTTTTTTATTTTTTTCAGTTAATGAAAAATGTATTATTTTTAATTATTTGAATGTTTTAACAATAACAACATCATGTATTAATTTTATTGTATGTTTAGTTGGAGAAAATGGATAAAAAAAAGATTTGATTCTAAATAGAATATAATCAGAATTTTACTAATTTGGAACACACAGTAAATTAAAATTATAATAAATCACCTTGACTCCAGTTTGCTAATAGTCTTTTGGGGAAAAAAAAAAGTCTCAGAAAAGGGAAATAATTTTGAATTAATTTTAATTCAATGAAATTCATACATATTTAATTAAGGCACATTTATTCTAAATTTTGGAGGCACTGTACATGAACTGGGAAAAAAATGTGCGTTTGACAAATTGAGGCTCAAACCATTTCTGAGTGAGTTTGCATAGAGAATGTAATTGTTCCTAGCCCACAGGAATCTGCTGTCCCAGCATTCCTCGCTGCAGCTGTGCAGTTGCATCACACTCCTGAATGATGTGTTGTGCTTTGAACCTGACTCCATTCAGTGAGCCACACTGTGTCCTGTCAAATGTGAGATGGGATTTGGAGCTCAAAAGCGGCCACTGAATCGGAGCACAATGAAGGATCCAGACAGGAGCTCTGTGAGAGCATCTTACCACCGAAGACGCTGCAGTGTTTGAAAGATTAACAAGAAAAGTGCTACGTAAATATGAGTATGCCCTCAAAATGTGAATGAAAGTTAAAGGTGCTGCATGTATTTTATTTATTTTTTGATTGTGCTAAAGCAGGAAAATATCATAATATTTTTGCATATAATTAGGAAAAATGCTAAGTTCACTGCTAAGTTCTAAGTTTCATAGTTTCTATGAAAAACAATGCTACAGTCAGTAATTCTACTTTGAAATGAGTTCCGTGTCGGAATGTCTGTTTTTGTTTTGGTCTGTGTGATTCCAACTATTGCCAATTTACCCAATAGTATTTCGACTCCCCGGGTTGCCAGTTGGAGGAAAGCACAGCATATTGCAGTCATGGAAGTCAGCAAATGAACTGGGTCAGTGATCGCAGATTCTACCCGACCTAAAAAGTCTAGTCATCCATCTAAAAATCTCTATGACCAGAGGAATATTAAAACCCAGATAAATCAACAGTGTAAGGCTCATCGCCTTCCATTGTCAAT